TGATCTTCAATTCTAGACAGACCTACCAGGTAAACAAAATTCAGTTGGGTATGTTTGTGTCATTCTCTTCTGGGCTTTGTATTTATTCTGTTGAATGAATACATGCAATCTTGATTATTGTAGGTAACAGTAAGTCTTAATATTAGAAGCCTTAATATTAGAAAAATTCATCCCATCTTATTTTTTCTTTGTCAAGAATGCATTAGCTATTCTGGTTACTTTACCTTTCTGTGTGAATTTTGTCATAAATTTGTCTCTGCCTACAAACAAGCAAACAAAAACACCTTGCTGGGGTCTTGATTAGAAGTACAGTAAACCAATGTGCTTCCTTATTTAGGTCTTTGATTTCATTCTTTCATTTAGCATTTTGTCCAGTTCAGATAAGGACTTTGTGCATGCTTTGTTAAGCAGATAACAGTCTTTTTTCATTTTCTTTAGGGCAGTTGTAAATTTTTATTTTTATTTTTTTTAAAGACAGAGTCTCCCTGTAGCCCCAGCTGGCCTGCAACTCAATATGTAGACCAGGCTGACCTCAATCTCACAGAGATCTGCTTGCCTCCCAAGTGCTGGGATTAAAGATGTGTGCCACCATGCCTGGCTTGTAAATGGTATATCATATTAAATTTGGGTTTCTGCAAACTTAAAAAACTTAATTTATTTTTTGTATGTGCTTATGTATGTGTTAGGTGTGGGCACACATGTGGAAGTCAGAGCACAACTTTGGGGAGTTTGTTCTTGCCTTTTCATCTTGGGCGGTAGGGTCTCTTGTTTTTTTCTGCTACTGTGTATTTTACTCCAAGGTAGCTTGCCTGTGAGCTTCTGGTGATTGTCTTGTCTCTCTCTCCCATCTCCTCACTGTAGGAGTGCTGGGATTACACATGCATGCCACTACCTTCGACTTTCTATGTAGTTTCTGTGGGTGAGGCTTATATCCTCAGGCTTGTGCAGTAAGTGCTTTGTACCCACTCAAACATCTCCCTGACCTTCTGCAAAGATTTTTGAGTCTTGATTTTATATCCCTATGACCTTGCTGAATTCTCTTACTTAGTTTTAAGTTTTTTTTTTTGTCTTATAAAATTTTTTGGAGTTTTCTATATAGTTAATTTAATTTCTAAATACAGTTTTATTTCTTCCTTTTCAAATCTTAGTAATTTTTAGATCCGTTTCTTATCATATTGCAGCTATTTGCTTATTTATTTATTGTTTTATCTTTTTTGTTTTTTGTTTTTGTTTGTCTTGTTTTTGTTTTGTGGTTTTTGATACGGGGTCTCCCTGTAGCCCAAGCTGGCCCAGAACTAATTATGTAGACCAGGCTGGCCTCTAACAGAGATCCTCTTGTTTCTGTCTTCTGAGTTCTGGGATTAAAGGTGTGTGCCACCATGTCCCACTGAAACCTGTAGTTTTTTCCTTCCAAAAATGTGTGTAATCTACTTTATCCTTACCATTCTAAAATTTCATGTATATGTGTCCTGTTTGGATATAGTTTATTCATTTGTTGGGATAATACTCAGGCACTTTTAACCCGACACTTCTGTAATTGGAACGCATGAGAAATTTTTATTAATTAGGACTTTGATGATTTTTCCTTCTTTGTCTCTTCAACTCTTTTAATATTAGACCTCTTAGATTAGCCTACCAATTTTGTTACCTTTTCTCTTGTTTCTATTTCCCTCTGTGTTACACCTCTTCAGCATACTCTTTGCCTATCCTAGTTTGGTTTCTGTTACTGTGACAAAACCTCATGAGTAAAGCCTGAAACTCTGAAACTCTTAGAAGAAAACATTGGGAAAAACCTACAAGATATAGGTGTAGAAAAGGACTTTCTAAACCGGACACCAATAGCCCAGGAAACAAGGGCAAGAATTAACAAGTGGGATGGCATTGCTCACAGTGGTCTGGGATCTCCTATATCAATCAGTAATCAGGAAAATGACCATACATAGGCCCATAGATCACTGATGGAGGCAGTTCTTCCATCAAAGTTCTCTATACCCAGTTTTAGGTTGGATTTTTTGTCTTATAAAATTTTTTGGAATTTTCTATATAGTTAATATAATCTCTAAATATAGTTTTATTTCTTCCTTTTCAAATCTTAGTAATTTTTAGATCTGTTTCTTATCATATTGTAGCTATTTGCTTGTTTGTTTATTGTTTTATCTTTTTTGGTTTTGTTTGTCTTGTTTTTGTTTTGTGGTTTTTGATACAGGGTCTCTCTGTAGCCCAAGCTGGCCCAGAACTAATTATGTAGACCAGGCTGGCCTCTAACAGAGATCCTCTTGTTTCTGTCTTCTGAGTTCTGGGATTAAAGGTGTGTGCCACCATGTCCCACTGAAACCTGTAGTTTTTCCTTCCAAAAATGTGTGTAATCTACTTTATCCTTACCATTCTAAAATTTCATGTATATGTGTCCTGTTTGGATATAGTTTATTCATTTGTTGGGATAATACTCAGGCACTTTTAACCCGACACTTCTGTAATTGGAACGCATGAGAAA